GGTCGAACAGCCCAACGTCACGTACGGAACTGGCCCTGTTCCGCCCCGCCCCCACTTCCTCCCTTCCCCCTTCTCTCCCGGCCCCACGGCCTTAATGAAAACACGACTAAAGGTTAAAGAAAATCTGCATTTTCCAAGATGAGCAGCGCGTACAAACTAGGGGAGAAAGTTATTGCAAGAGAGTGAGAGGGAGACAGACAGACAGGGAGAGCGTGGGAGAGACAGAGAGAGAGAGCCTACACAGTGAGAGTGCGAGTGCAGAGTTTAGATTGAGACAGTGTGGAGCCTCAGCCTCTGTCCTGTGCGGGTGGCTGGTACCCGGGCCCCTGCGAGCCCGCGGGTAGGCTGTTCCGGCTGGCGCGCCTGTCCGCCGAGTGGCCTACCCGGCCGCCGTCAGGCGCCGAGGCGTGGTGGACGGGTACCCCGACCAGCGCTGACTGTCGCCCTTCTGTGTGTTGCAGCCCCGCGATGCCGTGGAGCAGCCCGGCCGGCTTGTAGAGGCCGCCACGCCCGCGCTCGCGAGCTGCCGCTCTCCGCCGGCATGGCCCCGCGCGAGGCCGAGGGGCCGGCCGCGGGCCTCGACGGCGCCGGCACCACCTGCCCGACGACGTGGTCGTGGCGGCAGAGGCTGCGGCCGCCGCCCGGGACGCGGTGGCGGCTGCCGCTGTTGCTGGCGCTGGCGCTGGCCGTGGCGCCGGCCGCCGCCTTCTGCCCCGCCGGCTGCGTCTGCAACACGCTGCGCATCTCGTGCGAGGACGCCGGGCTGGACGTGGTGCCGTTCCAGCTCAACCCCGAGGCCAGCACCATCACGCTCCGGGGCAACAACATTCTGTCGGTCGAGTACACCGTCAACTTCTACCAGCACCTGCAGCAGCTGGACGTGTCCCAGAACCGGCTGCAGTCGCTCGGCAGCAAGAACTTTGACGCGCTGGAGCGGCTCGTGAGCCTCAACGTGAGCGGCAACGAACTGGGCGCGCTGGGCAAGGACGCGTTCCGGGGGCTGCGCGCGCTGCGGGTGCTGGACCTCAGCGACAACCTGCTGGAGCAGCTGGACCGCCACGCCTTCGCCGAGATGCACGACTTGTGGGAGCTGCACCTGCGCCGCAACCGGCTGGCCGCCGTGGCGGACGGCGTGTTCGACGCGCTCGTCAACCTGCGCGTGCTGCAGCTGGCCGACAACCAGCTGCTGGCGGTGCCGTCGGGCGCGCTGGGCCGCCTCACCTCGCTGCGCGCGCTGCACCTCAGCGGCAACCTGCTCGAGGACCTGGGCGCGCAGGCCTTCGCGCCGCTCCGCGAGCTGGCCGCCCTCGCGCTCGCCAACAACGTGATCGCCGAGGTGCACCCCGCGGCCCTGGAGGGGCTGGTCGCCCTGGAGCGCCTGGACCTCGCAGACAACAACGTGACGGCCGTGCCCACCGTGCCGCTCGCCAGCCTGCGCCGCCTCAGCTACCTCGACCTCAGCGGCAACATGTTCGCGGCCGTGGGGCCTGGCGCCTTCCACGGACTGGCCGAGCTGCGGGTTCTCCGCCTCAATAGGCTCGTCAGGTGAGCATTCTGCCAAAAAAAACATGCAAAGTTACGACATTTTCATTCCCATTACCGATGTCCAGACAATGCCGTTAATGTACATCCTGAGATTCACTGCAAACTTGTTTTTCTCTATTTATTATCTTATTGTATTGTTGTTATATCATACTTAGAGAACTGATATTGAATTGATCTTTAGACTACAAGTTAATCCATCATGGAGCACGTGAAGGTTCTTCACTCTGACGTTGTTGCTCTGCGCAGGCTGACGCGGGTGGACGGGCGCGCCTTCCAGGACAACAAGCGGCTGGAGGCCGTGTGGCTGGAGGGCAACGTGCGGCTGCAGGCGCTGCCCGCGCGGCTGCTGCACGGCAGCCCGCTGCTGGCGCGGGTCTCGGTGCGCGGCTCGGCGCTGCAGTCGCTGGACGCGGCGCACTTCCCGCTGGACCGGCTGCAGCTGCTGGACGTGGCCGACGTGCCGCTCACGTGCAACTGCTCGCTGCTGTGGCTGTGGCTGCTGTGCCGCGAGCAGCGCCAGCACGCCCTCGCCGCCAACGACTGTGCGTAAAACACACCGCACATTGGTGTCACATTCAATTTGAAAATATCGTTTGTTTTGTCACCTCAAAAACGGGCAACACGAAATATGCGTTACATTTTGCAAAGGTGACGATTTTGTTTTCAAGACTTTTCTCCTATCCAAAGTACGGCTATGTGTTGCCGACACGGGGACAAAAACGTCACATTTTATGAGATTCCCCTTTTTTTGTTGCCGATCTTTGAGGTCATACTAAAGCAAAAAGTTTCCCAAAGCTGATTTTAGTTCCTTTTTGCTTTTGATTCATTTATTTTTTTTTTTTTTCGTAAGACACGTGTTTTATGAAGTACCAGCCCTCACGCCGCCCTCTTTCTCGCCCACAGCCACCACCACGGAGTCCCCGGCGCCCGCCTCCCCGCTGCCCTTCCTGGCCGAGTCGCCGGTGCAGGTGCTGCACCCCGTGATCGTGGACGTGGACCGGATCCGCTGTGCGGGCCCGGCCGACCTGCGCGGCTTCGCCGTCCTGGACGTGCCCGAGGCGGACGTGCGCTGCGAGGCCTCGTGGATGGCGGTGGTCATGGTGACGGTGGTGGTGCTGGCGCTGTTCGCCGCCACGTGCGCCGTGCTCTTCTTCCTCAGCTCGGGCCGCATGTGCGGCGGCGAGAAGGACGCGTCGGACGTGAGCACGGACTCGTTCGCCACGCAGCACTCGACGCTGCACCACAAGCACGGGCTGGCGGGGCTGGGCACGCTGCCGCGCGCGCCCCCCGTCATGGTGCTGCCCGCCGACACCAAGCTGCTCGAGCCCACCTACGCCACCATCGGGCTGCCGGGGCTGCCGCCGCCGCTGCCGCCCGCCGCCTACGACACGTACGGCAAGAAGCAGGACGTCGCCGTGAACGGCGCGAACGCGTACCAGCGCGCGCTCAACAACTGGGACTCGAGCTTCAACGGCAACGGCACGCACCACGCGCACCACACGCTGGGCCGGCACGACCAGCAGCGGCACAAGGCCCCCAAGGGCGCCGCGGGGCTGCCGGCTGGCGGCCAGTACGGCACGTACCACAACCACAACCACTACTCCATGGCCATCGACATGACCAAGAAGCCGCCGCACATCGTGTACGTGTAGCAGTGAGTGGGGCGGGGGGTGGCCGCGGGCGCAGCCGGCCGCGCTGCGGGCGGGGCCCCTTCCGCGACCTCCACGCCCACCGCGAGCCCCGCCTCCACGCCGGCCTCCACGCCGGCCACCACGCCGGCCTCCACGGCCACGTCCCCCACCCTGACCCCGAGCTCCCCGCTATGCCCCTCGACCCCCTCGGGCAGCCTCGTGCTCGTGGCATGAGACGAGCCAACAAAGCTAATAAAGACTGTCTCCGTGGCTGGCCCGGGGCCCGGGCCCGGGTGGGGTCGGACTGGGGTGCGCTGGCCGTTGCCTCGCTCGCCTTGTCCGACCCCGTCGCCAGTCAGCACGAGCTCTCGTGTCGGTTCAGGGGAGTGTGCGTCGGGAAACGGAAAAGTGAAATGCGGCGCAACACACAGATAAAATATATTTCTGTACGATAGTTAAAATGTTTACTAAAAACGTTTGTTACGGTGGCACAGAAAATTTAGGACTTTGTGCGGACTTTTGAGAGTGACTTAAATTTTCTTCCTTTACATCTTTCCAGCGGACATATTTTTGTACACTTTATGCCAACAGTAAGTAAGTGGTTAAAACCTTATTAATGTTATATTTCTATTTTATTCGGAATGTAATTCTATTCATTCATTTAACTTGTCCTGTCCTAAGTCATAAAGTGACCAGTCTCCCTGTCGTGTTTGCAAGTTCAGTATTCCTTCCTTTAAATGTTTCTTCTGGAATTCTGACTGTTTTGGAACTTCCATTACATTTTTACGAAAACTTTAAGATTAATCCGAGATTGATCCAATACAAAACCCATTTTCAATTCGGTCATCGCCTGCTCCATAAATCATGTACAGAGGTTGAAGTTTTATATGTATGCTGTAAATAAGAAAACCTCCAAGATTGAGTTTTACACGGCCTCTTGTAAAACACTAACATTCTGATGTCAAATGTATTTGAAATTTTTATATTTATGCAAGGGTAAAAGACTGACAAGTTTTCGTACGCCCATTTTTGTTAGTAGTATTTTAACTCAAAAGTAAATTATATGATGTTGTGTAAAGTTTAAGGATGTACTAATAATTATTGTAAATATTTTATGCTCACATGAGCTGTCAGTGAGACCAGTACAGTAATCTGCTAGTCATGTTTGAGAAAGTTATTGTCTAACTTATTGATGAATGGTTTGTTGATAAGTCAGTTACCTTTTTGGGCATTTTTCTTTGAAAATTGAACGCGATAATTGTGTTTTTCACTTTTGTCAGCTAGTATTCCCTAGTTTCCTGAATGACGTGGAAAGGAACCCAGGTTACATTGATCAAAAATATAGTGCTTTCCATTTATTGTTTGAAGATACCTTCCTTTAGTAGATCGCATGACTGTTCAAGTTTTACCTGGGGAAAAACTTTCATTAAATTCGACTAAAATATCAATTTTAAAAAATTCCCCGTTTCTCCTTTTGGGTCGTCAGTGTTGTTTTGTGAAGGACGCCAAAGGTCTCCCCGCACTGTAACTCCTTTCGCTTAGTTACTCAATCCAGGAACCATCTAAGCTAAGCGTGCAGTGTGTGGTGGAATACTAGTGCTGGCAGATTTAGAAACCGTTCGTACATAAAGTTCTTCCACGGACAGTAATAGTCAAAATCATTTGTCTTCTTGTACAAACATATAGGCATACATCTAGATCCCGTGCTTGCGAGAAAACAAAATTATTGTTAAGTCCATCATGTTAATAAAAAAATATTTCTCTCGACAAGCCAACTTCCATTTCTATTCTACACTCCTGCTGACACACGTCAAGAGCAAAGGGTGTACATTGTTACAGACTCGTTTAAACGACCTGTTTGCTCGATTCTACAGAAGGTCTTGAAACTATTAGGGTGGCCATAACATTTATGGTCTTGTGATTATGATCTTGTGCTTGCGAGCGTTGTTCCTTTCATTTATCTTCCTAGAGATTGGAGAAAGGAGTCGGGGGCAACTGAGGTCACGCGAGGCCCTCCTTCATGATCTGGTTCGCTTCTCCTTAATTCACGCCCCCTCTCTCCTCCACCCCCTCCAGCAGCACAATGTGGCTCTCGGACAACAGCTTTACCACTCCCGTCTCGTCGGCTGCTAAACCTCAGCGGTCACGAGCACGAATGGAGCATCATCCAACGCCTGCTGCAATCTCTTCTCTTCTCTCTCTCTCTCTCTCTCTCTCTCTCTCTCTCTCTGTGTCTCTGTCTCTGTCTCTCTCACCCTCCCCCCCTAACCGTCTCTCGTTTCCAAGACGGTGTACATATCCTAGACCTGCTGCTAGACCTCCTCGGTCCAAGTGGGTCACCAGTCCGCCTCCGTCCGTCCCGCCGCTGTGCCGCTGTGCTGCAAGGAGCGCAACGTCGCGTAGCGCTGCAGTTACTGGAATGATGCACTTCCTTCGGCCCCACCCCGTCGTACTCTGTTCTGCCCCACGCAGTTTGTGACACGGATGCGCCTGCAGCGGTTGTTCGTAAGGCTAGACAAGTTCTTTCGAACAATCGGTTTGCATTACGAACTATTTGTTTGTAAGCTTACGAACAATTAGTTACATCGCTTCGAAATCCTTCGTAAGCTACGTAGGTTTTGGTTTTCATTACGAACCTATGCAAGCAACTTACAGTGAATTGTAGCGCCGCTAGTGAGAGGGTGTCTGGCGGTCAATAAGTAATTTGATTTATTTTTACCGGACCAATTATTGCCCCAATGAAGATATTTCTCGTGCCCGAATAGTGGCTGAAGGGGTGGCCAGCCCCACCAGTCCACCGCAGCCCAGCCTCGACGCACAGTTTTAAATGAGGCGAGTTTAAAGCACGCATTAAAACTTTGGCGTCCACGTTTGCAATTAACGACGACAGGGGGAGGCTAGATACCACACAAGCGCTCGGGACGCTGGGGATGGATGCGGGGAGGGGAGGATCATCACGGCCAACGCAAGTTGTTGCCAGTCGACATTTAAGTTTTGTTTATTCAGAACCCCTCAGCGCTGCAGGCCAGCCGCTACACTGCAAACTGTCGACTTGAAGCCTGCAAGCAATGAGTAAGGTTCATAGTAAAAAAAAAACTCGCCTGATTTTTTTTTTCAGGAAAAGGGTAAAACTTTCAGAAAATGAAACCTTTAGAGTTCTAGGAAAACTCCTCAAATTTTCAGGAAGTCTTCGCCAAAAACGTGGAAGTTATCGTCATTTTTTTAAAAAATCTGATGAGTTTTCTTGAAAAAATTGTGGGAGGTCATCAAAGTGTTTTTTTTTTCCTTTTCCCTCAAAATATCAGACATTGTTTTTACCGTACTAAGTCGACTGAAGCGAACATCATGGAGTCGAATACATGCTCGTAGCGACAATCTAAAGCGCCACACCTTTTGAGGGATGACAGAATCCTTCGAACAGCTGACATTTCAAATGTGATATATTCGAGCACCCAACTCAAACAGTTGGGAAGAGCACTCTTTCTCGTTTATAATTTATCTTTGAAATGAAATGAGGTTAAAACAAGACAAAAATGACAGCAGGAAGTGCGTGTCTTGTCGACTGTTGAGTTTGCAGTACTATGGTGTGTAGTACAATTGTACGGCCGGGGCAGGGGCGGTGGTGTACTATGAGGGGGGGGGGGGCTCGAGGCGCCTTGACTGTGATCCGTCAGCCGGCTTAGCCCCGAGCAGAAAGTGAGTTTGCTGTAGGAAGCGGCACCGTCGGCGACGCCCACGCTTGTCTCTCGGTCCCGGCCTGCCTGCTGCCCGCCGTGGCGTCGGGCCACAAGAGCGTCGGGCCGGCGCGCCGCGCCCCCCTCTCTGTCACTCCGCTGCCGGGGGGAGGGGGGCGGGAGGCGGCGGCTCGGGCCACAGCGTAGTGCGCGTTGAGGCTTCGCTGGGAGCACAGTCCTGCTATTGATCGCGCCGAGACTCCCGCCGGAGCGCTCCGCCTCGCCGCCGCGACGACACAGCACGGCGACGACGCGAAACGTCACATCTGACATCAGAAAAGCGCGCCTTTTGCGGGGGATTGCTTGGCGACCCGCCGTTTACTCGGCCAGGCCCGCCTCCTGCTCGTGCTGCTCGGAGCCGACGGCGTGCCACCCCCGCGCCGGCGGACCACCCTGCCGGTGAGCAAGTCCACCTAACCTCCCCGGGCCTGGCGGCGCGCTGCGGCGGGCGGCGCGGAGGGGCTCTTCGCCTTGATGAGCGCTAACGTACTGCGGCCCCCCAAGGCCGCTGTCCCGCCGGCCATAGGCCGGACACAGCCGCGAGCCGCCCGCCCGGCCCCCGGGCACAAACGGCACACACGGCCCGGCAAAACGGCTAGAGCGAGTCTTTGACGGCATTCTTCTCTCGTGTAGGCAAGCAGTGCAAGTTGGTTGATCAATTTCAAAGAACCCTGCTGTCTCGAAAAGTTACATTTTGTTTGTTTGTTTGTTTGTTTGTTTGTTTGTTTGTTTGTTTGTTTGTTTGTCTGTTTGTTTGCTAAAATTGCAGGGTTATTTTGTGTTCTTTAGTTGTTACGAAGGTACAGTCAAAAGGGCGTTTTAGGCTCTAAAACCTAAGTGAAAAACAAGAATCTCACTGATTATGTGTGTCTGTCGAGTCGTCGTGATCGTGGTGATTTAGGCTGGGTATGTAACTTTCGGCATCCCGAATAGAGTATTCCGCTGCAAACCAACCGGAACTTAAAGAGGAAAGGCATGACTGCTCGATCTGGTTTCCTCTGCGCGTTCATTGGCTGACCGCCACAACGACGCCGCCGTTGACCAATCAGTGTTCAAGAGGAAACAGAACGGACTGTCCTTTAGGTTCCAATTGTGTTGTTAGCGGAATACCCTTGGACATCAGTGAAAATTTCGCGAGCAACAATTTAACCGTATCCACCCATCTGTCAACTCGCATCGGGTCTCAGCGCAGCGTAAGTGTATTTCGTAAGATTATCGCGAAGCCTGTTACGCGAGACGTGGTCTGACATGCGGCCAACATGATTCTAATCACTAATACACATATTTGTATTTGTGAGGAGTCGCGTATCCTAGTTTATAGTAATTCGGAAGTGGGCTGTCACTTGATGGTATAGAGTAGGAAAGAGGGCCCACCGGTGGCTGCTCGTTAGCAGAGCGTGGACCTATCAAAAATTGCGGTCTTCCGGCCTGCATGGTTAGTCAGTCTCTATCATAGCATAAGTCTATCCGCTCCCAGCGCTAATGTACTGCAGTAGTGCCATTTAAGTTAGAATAGCTGCAACAGCTAAGCGATAGCAAGCATATTATTCTGTTGTTCGACCGTTCTGTGTGACGTACGAATTAATTCTATGCAAGCATGCGTCGTAAACATCACACATGTGTGCAGTTAGCCATTTGGCTAGCCATTTGGTCAAGCCACTACCGCCACTAACCCCCATAACCAAGTAAAGTGGGGGGAAACTTGCCCAGTTAAGAACGTTTATATTTTACAGGCCATTCTTCTGTCGTGTGTTAGCTAAACGACACTGGGGTGTTCAGTAAAGAGTTTTATTGCAGTGCTTCGAATTTCGCACCGCGGGCCGGGGAACTTCCCGTCGCTACTGGGTCAGCTCCGAGTGAGTCAGCTCGTGTCGCGGCTGTGGCCGTTACGTCCGTCCTAATGTCCTAGTTCTATGCTACAATGTACCTTTCGCTATAAAAAAATAAACTAACGATGTTAAGTTTAAAGCTCCACATATATACCAAACCTTACCATACATTTTCCTTACACTGTTTACCGCCTGACCGTTTGCTATTGAAAACGTTAGCATATCCAGATAAACGATAAATCAAAGGTATCACAAAACGTAATATATGGCAGAAATTTGGGTTAACTTATTATCACAAACCTTGAATTCAGTGTAAAGCTGTTATAAAAGAAAAATACGCAGAAGAAACGGAAGTCACGATTGGCAGTTGAACAACACATTTCTATATTTCGTGTCATCATATTGAAATGCTTGAATCGTCGGTATATTATGGCGTATTTTGTATTACTATTACATGAATGACTCAACTGTCGATATATATGCGCATTGAATGCTCGTTAAAGATTAGACACGTTATGCAGCTTGCCTGTGTGAACAATATTTAACACTCTACCTGACGTCTGCTAAGTGGCCGCCCATCTTTGCCTTGTTTATAACGCCACGCCAGGTGAGACTGACTCCTTCTACCCTGCCGCTCTCTCAGCCCCACCCCCTGCTTTTGACGTGACTTTAGTCACGGGGCCCAAAATATACACTGAAATCGATGACTCGGCGTAGCGCGTAGCGTTGCCCGGCGCGTCCGGCAGGCTGTAGCCGGCTGATGTGAAGTGTCCGGGGCGGGGCGGAGGAGACGAGCACTGACACTGACAGGGCTGGTAGGTGCGGTAGAAGCGCCCCCTCCCCAATCGTCTCTAGTGAGCCGCCTGAAAGGTAGGCAATTTGTGCCACAAAACCCCTGTATGTTGGCGACCCACAGAGCATCCACCCCCCGCCCCCGCCCCTGTCAGCCGGTCCTTACACCGCGCCCGGACTAGAGTCCCGGACCGGCGCCTCGCCCAGGTCGCGTTGGCGGCTGGGAGCGCCGGGCCCGCCGCGGGGCGCAGGGCGCGCAGGCTGGGCGTGCCTCAAGGCCAGGGCCGGGCCAACCGTCGGGCCCCGCGGTGCAAGGTACGGCCCGGACCCCGACTGGCAGGAGGAGAGTGCGCAGGCTGGGACTCACTGGAACTAATGCGACACAAGTGCACCGGCTCGGCTCCCCTCGAGCGAGCTCACAAAGTGTGTGTCGGCTCACTGGAACACAGAGTCCAGGCCTGGGCAGTGACTGGGGCTGGTCGGCACCCACATCGACCTGCTGGCTGCCCTGGCGGTGCTGGGGCACGGCTCGGCCAGGGCTCCGTGAGGGCTAAAGGTCACGAGTGCTGCACGCTAGCCTCCTCCACGCCACCGAGCAGCGGCCCAGCCTCCAGCCCTGCTGCTGACGCAGCGCACTCCCACCAAAGTTACTGTGTATCGACATTTTGACAACTTTTCGTTTAACAATATTTGAGCTGGCAGGGCCCGACGGGGCTAGTAACTCTTTTTTAACGGGGCAGCCATCAATTTACAGTTGTTGAAGTTGTAGAATTACACCAAGCCCATATTAGCATATCAAACTTGTTCCGACTTTTTTGAAAATAAGGCAACTTAACGTGAACCCAGGCAGTTGCACACTACCCTGAAGCAAAAGTCGGGCTGCAGCCTGCCTTACAGCTGTGGTTGTAAAAAGACAGTGTATTCTTTTACAGTGCACAGTCGTGATCGTGACCGACCACGGGCGTCCTCACCGCGCCGGGGAAGTCCCGGGGCAGAGCAAGAGTTCCTAAACGTGTGCGCAGTAGTAGACCTAGGAGGTGGTCTCTCGAACGAGCAACACTAGGTTATTATTTGGATTCCAAATTTTTTTATGGGTTTTACAACTGTCTAGGTTTGGGGATAGGCCGCGAGCTGGCCGGTCGGGCCCGATACCTGCGGAGGTTAAGTCAGGTGCGGCGCTGGCCGGTGCCAGTCTGGCTGAACAAGGACCTTCCGCGGAGTTCGGAGCTAACCGACAAGGCAGGCAAGCAAACACAATGGCGAGACCCATTGCCCCCTCCCCCTTTTCCCCGTGTTTCCATTAGGAACTGGGTAGCCGTGAGGGGCCTACCGGGCCTACCTGCACAGTAGGGTGGAGCGAAAATCCGAGGTCTCAAAAGCGTGTATAGAATGTTGCACTTTAAGATGTCCAAAGACAAGCTGCAACGTCCAGTAGATCCATCAGTAGCCCTAGCCCTAGTCTTGGAAAGGGCCCAGAGACGTCCGAGGACCAAAACGACTCTTTTTGTCCTTCTGGATCTGCACATACGGGTCACCCTGGAAACGGTATTCTACTATTACGTGCGCCTTATTGAAAAGGCTACATTTTTCGACGGTAATTTACATAATCTATACAGAGGATTCATTTTTGATACACATTACAATCTAAAGCTGGGGTGAGTATGAATTTGCAAAACACAAACAAATTTGACTTAAAACCAGTATTAACATTCTTTACATTTCTGTGGAGTTTCCGAGTTTTGGTCCTCCGTCGGCTGAGCGGCCGCCCAGGCCCAGGCCAACCTCCGCTGCGTGACGAGCTCGGAGTGGAATTGTGTGAAAGCAGTGGATGTTCATGTGTGTGTGAGAGAGAGACGCGATGCACGGTCACTCGCACCGTCTCTCTCTCTCTCTCTCTCTCTCTCTCTCTCTCTCTCTCTCTCACCGCTGAATGGCCGCGGTGAGGCGCGGCTCGGTGCCCCCCCCCCTCCCTCTCCTCGCGACTCGCGTCAAGGTCACAACACTCCTGGGCGTGAGAAATAGAGGAAGGGAGGGCGGGGGGTACTCCTGTACACTGAGTACCACAGTCATCACTTTCCGAGTGTGTTACGAATCGCCCTCTCGGCGATACATTGGCGGAGACTCTGTGTGCGTGTATGTGTCACAGCTGAGCCTAGCAGAGAGCTGGCCTGGTGGGATCATGCTGACGGCGAGCTGACGGCGAGCTGACGGTGACGGACACATCGCCGCGCGCCTGCCCTGGACTGGGCTGACAGTCATGGGCGCGTCTGTTTCCCTCCGCTAACGTCAGTCCCTGTGTCGCAGGTCGCTGCCGAGTACGACTATGCTGCCGCCGCGGCGCCCGGGCAACACCAAGGCGACCAATCGGGGCAGCTGACCGAGCCGCCACCCCACCAGCCCCACCACTCCATCTAGTCACATCGCAGCCATGGCGCCTGGACCCAGCAGAGGTGAGCACAGTGTAGTAGTGAGCCACAGTAGTTTGGTTTGGAGGTGAATTCAGCAAGTTTTGAAGACACATCGTATCATCTGTGCGTAAAGTATACATCACCGCACGTGCGCGCTCGTGGTCTGTTACGCCCTCTGTATTTCAAAGTCACACTCACTCCACCGCTTGTAGCCTATGCTTGCGAGAGGGCTGCCTACTCGCCAGGCGCTTGCGATGCCACGCCAGTCGTCGGAGCCTGCAGGCCAGGAAGGGCATCAGCCAGAAAGAATGTCCGTCATTATTATCCGGTGCGAACCTTCCGAGTTCGGCCCATGCGAGCTCTCGTAGCGCCTGATAGGTAGGCAATGTCTTGCGTGCAGTGCATGCGTGCACCGCGGGGTGGCCTACCCTGCGTCTCGCAGGCGCCCAGCTCCCCGCAGTTAAGTGAGAAACAACTCGTCCGTGCGCGCATTTGTGCGGCGGTCGGCAGCAAAATCAAAATAATCTTACGCATCTCCTCCACCCCTTTTCTATTGCAAGCTATCGGTAAAAAATTGGGAGAGCCCCCCCCCCCCCCCACCAAGAAAGAGTCATACAAACCGGAAAAAAATAAGAACGCTTAGAAAAGACAACAATGCGTCTTTCAAAATCATCGCTGTTTGTTACGGACTGGAGCAGGTAGTAGGGCAGTGTCGTGGTTGTGTTATTTGCATCTTGTCGCCAAAGCGCTGCTCGCGCCGCGCTGTCCGCCGTCCTGACGCCGTCCTGACGCCGTCCTCTGCCCATGCCCCCCAGGCCCGCGCGGCTCGCTCTGGCTGTGGGCGGCGCTTGCGCTCGCGCTCTCGGGCTGCCTCGCCTCGCTGCCCGAGCTGGAGTGCCCCGAGGAGTGCGAGTGCCACTACTTCCGCATCAACTGGGTGACGGACTGCTCCGAGGGCAACCTCACCGACATCCCCAACGACAACATGAGCCTGAGCGTCTACATCCTCAACATGAACGGCAACAACGTGACGACCTGGCCCACCTTCCCGGCGGACATGAAGCTGCGCCGGCTGCAGGCGGCCGACAACCACGTGCAGCGCGTCACCAAGGACATGTTCCAGGGCCTGGGCTACCTCATCGACGTGGACCTGTCCGGCAACAGCATCACCGCCGTGGACCCCGAGTCCTTCAAGTAAGTACAGCAGGCTGGGGCTGAGCCTGCTGAGCGTGTGTCTGTGGAGCGCGCGCTGACCGAGCTGCCTGTGCAGGGACAGCCCGGGTCTGCTCACGGTGGAGCTGCAGAACAACCCCATCGGGCTGGAGCCCGTGGACGGACCCTTCCTGCACTCGCAGACGCTGCTCTATCTGGACCTGAGCGACTGCAACTTCACGCGCCTGTCGACGCAGTTCTTCTCCGGGATCAGCGCGCTGAACCGCCTCGACCTGTCGGGCAACCCGCTGGCCGAGCTGCGGCCGGCCGTCCTGGACCCGCTGGCCAGTCTGGAGCACCTCAAGCTCAACCGCTGCAACCTGACGTCGCTGTCGGAGCGCGCCTTCAGCAAGCAGGAGCACCTCAAGACCCTGGAGCTGGCCGGCAACCGCCTGACGGACGTGGACTGGGTGGCCGTGCTGCAGCCGCTCGTGCGCCTCGAGCACCTCGACCTGCGCGCGTCCAGGGTCACGTACCTGCCCGAGGACGTGTTCGCCAACAACATCTGGATCCGCAGCCTGATCCTGGCCGAGAACGAGCTGCGCGACCTGGACGTGGCCACGACCCTGGGCCACAACCTGCGCCACCTGGACCACCTGGACCTGTCCAACTGCCACCTGCGCGGCCCGCTGTCCGAGGACGCGTTCGCCAACGCGACGCGCCTGCGCTCGCTGCTGCTGTCCGGGAACAGGCTGTCCGCCTCGGACCTGGCCGTGGCGCTGGCGCCGCTGTCCAAGCTGCAGCGGCTGTCCCTCCGCAACTGCTCGCTGCACCGTCTGCCGGACAACACCTTCCACCGCTTCAGCGAGCTGCAGGTGCGGACTGTGATAGAAAGTCTTAAAACGTCTTTGAAATAAGCGGGAGTTTAAGAGGTTTCAAAAAGTTCCGAAAACTACGAGGCTTTTACAATTCTTTCTAAAAATGTGTAGTGTTTTGTTCATTTTGCTGTCCCTGCCGCAGGAGCTGGACCTGTCCAACAACCCGCTGCAGGACGCGTTCACGTCGCTGCTGTCGCCGCTCGAGACGCTGGAGCGCCTGGACATGGGCTACTCCAACCTGGGCTACATCTCGCGCACCACCTTCTCCAAGATGACCGCCCTCAAGACGCTCGTGCTGTCGGGCAACCCGCTCAACACGCTCGAGTCGGGCCTGTTCCAGAACCTGACGCACCTGGAGACGCTCGAGCTCAACAACTGCGGCCTTGTTCGCGCCATCAACCCCGTAGTGTTCGACAACGCCACCTACAGTGACCTGCGCGAGCTACGGCTGGCCGGCAACCCGCTCAAGGTATCTTAAGACCTCTCACGACACGGGAGAACAAGCTCACTCGCCTCCTTGGTTTGTAAGCTCCGCCCGCCGTGGGAGACTGATAACTGGTCCGATTGCAGGTGACCGCCGACTCGGGTCCGCTGCTGCCCAGCCAGCTGTGCAAGGTGCGCGTGCTGGACCTCAGCAACTGCAACCTGACGGTGCTGCCGGCGGACGCCTTCAACACGACGCAGAACATCACCCGCCTGCTGCTGGGCGGCAACCGCATCTCGTCGCCCGTAGCGAGCGACCGCGGCCTGCCCTTCCTTGAGCACCTGCCCAACGTGGAGCTGCTCGACCTCACGTACAACAACCTCAGCCGGCTGTCCCCGGCCGTGTTCAGGTGGGTACAGTACGTCACCGACGTGCTGGTCTAGTTGCGGCCCGTCACTTGACTGTGTCTGTGTGCAGGAAGAACCACCAGCTCACGACGCTCAAGCTGGTGGGCAACCCCTGGCAGTGCGACTGCTCCATCGCGGAGCTGTGGGAGTGGGCGCTGAACTGGCGCGGCGACCTGGGGCTGCTGGCGGGCTCCACCATCACCCCCGAGGACACGGTGGCGGGCGCCGCCAAGCGCAGGCGCACCCTGGCCTGCTCCTTCCACCCCAAGACCAGCCCGCTGTCCGAGTTCTCCCGCTCGTGGAAGCGCGGCCGCGAGTTCACGCACACGGTCAACCGCACGTGGGCCAAGTAAGTCCCAGCCTGCCTGTCTCTGTCTGACTTGTGTCTGCCGCCCGCTGCGTGTCCCTGTCTCACCGCCCCCTGCTCCAGGTACGTCCGCGAGTCGGGCTGCGAGCCCAGCAAGACGCTGGTGTCGGCTCGCTTCGCCCGGGACGTCGCCGCCGTGGACTTGGACGACGTCGAGGCGGATGCCGTGCCTCTCCTCGAGGACGTGGAGGTGGGGGCCGACAACGAGCAGCCGTCGGCGGGAAGGAGGCGGGGAGCGCGGGCCGCCCCCCAGGAGCCGGTCGTGGCCCGACCCTCAGCGGCGCGCGCCCCCGGGGCCTCCGTGGGCACGGTGGCCGCCGTCGGCGTGGTGGCCCTCGTCGCCCTGATCGTCGCGGCGGGCGCCATCGCGTCCGTGGCGTCCAGGGCCGCGGCCAGGCAGAAGCAGGACGCTGCGGGAGGACTGGGGCTCCACGGCGCGGGGGCGGCGGTCGCGGCCGACGCACACGGCCTGGAGGTGGGCAGTCTGGAGAAGATGAAGCACCTGTGACGAGGGAAGGAAGAGAAGCGATGCGGCACATGGTTGCGATCGAACAGCCGTACGGTGCGTATCTCCTGCAGGCAATATACTGCGTTCTCCTACAAACGACCATGTGAATCTTTTGTTTAATGAGTCGAGCGGGGTTTTGGTCTTATCTCTACTAAAACATGTTCTACAGATGTTCCTTCGACACCCCCATCCCCCCACCCCCTTTTCTAAAACATGATGTAGGTTTAAACTTTTGCTTTAAATGCCAATGCTATTATTACAAAAATGACTCTTGGAGGCGTCTTTGCAAACCCCACCTATAGTACCTTAGCTATTTTTGTTAATGTGGTAGGTAATTTATTTTGGTGTGTTGTTGGTTGGATGTCAACCATGATAAACACTTTCATGCTATCTTTGACTCCAGTCCAAAACTTTACTTTGAAAAATGTGTGGTGTGAGCATGGCCACCAATTATTTTCTTGCATGCTGTCTTCAGTTTGTAAATTTATTATTCTTTTATTGTTGATAAAATTATTAGTTTTGAGAACTGTTTTGCACTGGACCAAATGGACTCCTGTTTTAGGTAGCTTTGTCTTTTCTTTTCATCCAATGCACTGTATTGAACCGCACGTTCGCATCGGCGTGACCTCACGAGCGGTCACTGGGGTCACTGGTGAAATGACGGTCCGGTGACCTCTTCCAAGGCGATTGAGAGGCTGCGACCTCCGAGGAGGTCACACCAGAGAAATAGTTCCTGGATCAATCCCAAGCAAAATTCAAATTTTCACATGGCAGCTACAGCTACATCGTACACCCCCGCCTCTGTGACCTCCCTTGACCTCCGCCTCGGAGTTCATCGAACTGGAGGACATACGACCACTTTGTTTGCCGGTGCGAACGTCTTAGTGAAATATGGTGCCATTATTACTATAAGCATCGAGTAATTGACCTTTGTAATAATTGCTGTCCTGAGCCAAATGTGATGATCTTTGATATGTGTGTACTAGATATTATGTAGTATTGTGAAGTAGATGTTATTTCTAGATAAATGTGATCAAAAAAATTAAATAGGGCTGTGTGCAAAATCTTAGATTTAATCTATAAGTTATATTCTCATCATTATTATTATTATAAAAATGTTTTCATCACCTGATCATTTATTATTTTACTATGTATAAGGCTTGTTCTTCCCTCACCCAGGAGGGCGATCGGAGAGCTCCCTGAAAACAACCGGAAACGCCTTCTAAAGCGACTGAAACGGGGTGAGGGGGGTGGTGGGAGGCCGGAAGTGGAGCGTTCTCAGGGAGCTCTCCGATCGCCCTCCAGAGGAACATCATAGCCAACTGTTAAAATCTAATAAAAATATTGAAAACTTAACACTCAAGATAGTAACTCTCCATTCGAGACGTACTCCTCGCCTTATGTTTTTTCTGCTATTTTAAAACAGTAGTATCGAAATTGATATTGTGTTCCGTTTATTGTTCGTGTCACCTCAATCTATAACGAAACGTTTCGTGCGTTTTCGCGCCTTACCGTTCGTGGTTCGTTCGTCCGGAAAACTCGAATAAATGGCGGGACGCTCCCACACGAACAATGCGCATGTGCAACGCTGCGTTTGTTCTTTACTGCCCAATGCCTAGAGCAAAGAGCACGTCTCGTGCACTCATTCACTCTTCCTTGTTGAGCAGTTAAAAGGTTGAAGGCAATTCCTCGACGATCGACAATATACGTGACAGCAAAAGATGGTAAAGTTGTGAGACCAGCCAAGACCGTTGCGACCGTTGCCGCGCCGCTTGGGCCGCTTGCCGCAAACAGAACGCACCCGACATGCACATTCCCCGTGCATACGAACGTTCCCGCGGAAACAAAACAACGGTAAACACATCCTGCTACCGACACAAACCATGGTCTGAATCAGACCGAGACCGATTGCTCTGGTTATTATCAATACTTTCTACTTTCATGAATTACGTTCGCAATTGGTGTTTTTCTATCTTAACGTGACATCTTTGTATGCGGGGCCCAGATGCAATTACGTTTTGGAAGCTGTCATAGCTGCGGGCATCTTCACGATCTTAACCTTGTGACATCCATATGATTTTCTTTTCGTTTTGTGTATTTTTAAGAGGAGCTTATATTTGATTCTTTCAACCCTATTTATATTACCGAAACTTAAATTTTTCTTTGAATATCATTTTATGGATACCTACCGGGGCACATCTGAACAATGAGTTTTCTGGACTTCACAATTTGAGCACCTTTATTTTTCTTGTTCTTGATACTATTGAATGTGTATCTCAAGCATAGTAAATTAAAAATTATAATGCATAGTCTGTACTTTTTGTCAGGTGGAAGTCAGTGTCAACTTACAATGTCGACATTGAGAACAGAAACTTCAAATACCGATGGTGGACTTCGACGTTCACACCGTCTTAATTCTGGACAACCGGTAATTATTTAAAATAGAATACTGTAATGGACTTTCCCTTTTGGTGATGCATGTGCAACCAAATAGCTTTCATTTTTTCTCTGTTCTTTTGACAATTTTATGTATGATGGCTTATTGTACTTATGCATCAGTTTTTATAATGTAAACCTTTTTTTACAACATATTTGTCTGATATATATTATTTGTTTTAGTTAATTTGATTCCTTATCTTGAGTTTTTTTATATTAATGGTTTAGAAAATGCTACACTTCTGTCTAATTGAAAGTGTTTGCTTTCTTCTATGAGTTATATGTACCTAGTGGCTTGTGTAGTCAGAGGTCTTAGCTTGGCATCATCTGATAAGACGTTATCTCAGACTACTCTGCTGGGCTTCTTGTCCTTCATCTAAACTCTTTACATATCTTTATTGTGTTTGTGGTTTTAGATTATTTTTTTTTTTGTTTTATTTTGTTCCTCTCAGGCTAAACAGCCTACCAAAGTATCTGCAGCGTTATTGGCAGCCAAGAGGAAAGCAAAGCAACGTAATATGAACAAGAAACAAAATGATATTATTAGAGACATCTATCAGAATGTAAGTGTACTGCTTTTTGAGGGGGTACATTTTTGTGCTTGTCATGTTTGGCTGAGAAACTGTTATCTCTCTGTTTGGATTTGTGGGGGCTGATGAGATTGTGTGAAGGAATGGGAGTCAGCCATTTTCACACCAGTGTCTGTAGCTAGCTTCTCTGTATACCATACTTCTGCTTTGGCTCCAGTCTTATATTTTTCACGCACATACTTTCAACAACAACAAAAAAAAAGGCTTTGGAACTCTTCATATTGTAGTATTTGTTCACTATCTTTCTGTCATGTTCTTTATTTTGCCTGTTTGTTCATAGAATGAATAATTTTTCTTGTTCTTTATTTAGACTCCTGTTTACACTGTAGGGCAATTGTTAAGAGTTGTGCATTTGAGCATATGTCATGTTGTTCTTTAATTATATGGATCTATACAATTATATTGGCACACCTATTGACTAAAAGTTATCAGCTGTTTTTTCACTTATACTGTTGTGTTTCAGGCAATGGATTCAAAATCCATGTTCCATAAACCTACTGGTTTAGTTTATGATAGACGCATGGCTGAACATCGCTGTATGTGGGATTCAACCTATCCAGAGTGTCCTGAACGCTTAACACGAGTACTTGAGAGGTAAGTCGTAATGCTGCTGTTAGTATTAAGTAGTTATTGAGAATATCCTCTCCTTTCCCTATTGGTTTATTCTTTCATCTGTGACAGGTGTGAGGAATTGGGCCTTGTTCAGTGCTGCAAGGAAATTTTACCTCGTGAGGCAACAGAAAAAGAACTGCTTTCAAAACACACACCTGAACAAATCGCAATTCTTAAAGCTACTGAAAATGTTTCGGATGAACAGTACTTAGAAAACCTCTCCTCAAAATATGATGCTATATATATTCATCCGGTAAGGTTTTTAACATATTCATTCGAGTTTTGAACTCATCCAAAAATCCCTTCTATTACCTAAAGCCTCACTAGCAACAAAATGATTTTTTTGTTTGTTTTATTTTCAGAGCACTTATCGTCTATCTCTGCTTGCTGCTGGAAGTACGATAGAATTGGTTGAAAACATTTGTAAAGGTGCAGTTCAAAATGGAATGGCTATTGTTAGGTAATTGTCTGTAGACACCTTTCTATCTAGGATTTTGTATTTTCTTCCACATTACATTTATTACATTTATTCTTATGTTTGGTTTATTTATAAAGGCCTCCAGGTCATCATGCAATGAAAAGTGAATATTGTGGTTATTGTTTTTTTAACAATGTGGCCATAGCAGCTAACCATGCTCTGGAGAATTTGGGTCTTTCTCGTATTTTGATTATTGATTGGGATGTTCATCATGGTCAAGCCACTCAGCAAATGTTTTATGATGACCCAAGGTAAATCCTGTTGCTTAATTTTTGTGTTTTTACTATATTACGTTTTAACCACAAGAAAGCTGATGATATTGTGTTCTACAGGGTTGTTTACTTCTCGATCCATCGTTATGAGCATGGAACATTTTGGCCAAACCTTCGAGAAAGTGACTTTGACTATGTTGGAAAAAATATGGGTGCTGGATTTAACTTCAACGTCCCACTAAATGCCACTGGCATGGCTGATGCCGATTATCTTGCTATTTTCCAGCAAGTGCTACTTCCAATGGCTTGCGAGGTAAGTTATCCTCTGTGTTGTCACTTTCAATTAAACATGAATCTATAATCAATCCTTCATTATTATAACTGCTCTATCAAAATTCAGTTGGCAATTAAGTGGATCTACTAGTATTTGGTTTTATTTGGTTATGTTGTATGTGGCCAAAGTTACACATTCATGGCAATGACTAGTCAAGATTAACATACATATTACATATATTCAGTCAAACAATTTTTGGGGAAATGTTTTCTTCACTTGACCAGATAATGTTCAGATTCACCACTAGTTACGTTCATCTATTGTTGTGTGTGTGAGAATCAAATCTCTACTTTATAGCGGTACCACCAAGAAAAATCAGCCCTGCTTCTGAATTTTTTTTGTGTATTGGTTCCTTTGTATGTTGTCATTGTCACTATCAATATAAATCTAATCTAAAAAAATTAATACTTCAATCTTCTATTGGTATAAAACAGTATACATAGCAATGTCTAATACATTTGATAAAAGTTCAAGGAAAAAAGAACAGGATAATAAGAGCAATTGTTGTTCATTCACTGAAAAATTATTTCCTACTGCAAAATTTCCTCTTTACTACCCTAGCCTTTTAATTTACTTTAAAACAGTTTCTATAGTTGCAACTTATATAATGTCATGTGGCAGTTTATTACAGATCTGAATCCAATTATACAATGGGGATTTAGGACTGCGCTTTTTCACATGTAGTTTTCTCTTATTGTATTTAAAAAAACCTCTTTCTGTTAGTTTCAGCCAGAACTCATAATAGTGTCTGCAGGATATGATGCTGCCATTGGATGTCCAGAGGTATTACTCAAAGAGAGATGTCCACTGCCTTATTTGACTTAAAACCATTATTGATTAATTATTCCAAAATTTATCATATTACTGTACCTTCAATTTTAGAAAACCTTCAAAAAACACTGTTTTTAATGTACTAATAATGGTTTTAGTTCATATTTGGTAAGTGGGCATAGTCTTTCTACCAATTCCTTACATTTCTCCTTTTTTCTCTGTGCGTAGTACGGTCCCGAGCTGATAGTTGTGTCATGTGGGTTTGATTCAGCCCTGGGTGATGAAAAGGTACTAATAATGCTCATTTCAAAACTTCTGTGGGAACCATTAAGTTAAAGTTACCTTTTAAGTTAATTTTCTATTAGAAGTATTAAGACGTCAATTTTGTTTCCCCCTTAATGTGCTGTGATGTTTCAAGCAATTTTGTATTTTGTTAAATAAGGTATCAATTTTATTTTATTTTTTTAAAGGGTGAAATGGAGTTGACACCAGCATGCTATGCCCATCTTATAAACAGCCTTTCAGCCCTTGCCAATGGAAAACTGGCTGTGGTGTTGGAGGTGAGCAAAGAATGAGATAATGGTTATCTCAAAAGAGAGAACAATAGTTCTTCTTATAAGAATACTTTGTATACTACTGCCTACATTCAAAAGCATTACAATTTGTTTTGTTTTTTCTTTCTTTTTTTAGGGTGGCTACTGCCTCCGTTCTCTTGCTGAGGGTGCAGCTCTAACATTGCGAGCATTACTGGGGCACCCTACACCTTCTCTACCCCCAATGGCACCTCCATCTGACGTGTAATATATTTTGGGATAGCCTGTAAATTGTAGATCTGATGAAAATTATTTCATGCGATTCATCCTTCTTTTGCAGAATTAGGAACACTATACTTGATGTCATTTACTCACATCGGCCTTTTTGGAACTGCTTCCAATTACAAGACACATGGTCATTATCTGAACAAGAGAACAAGGATCCACTTGTGTCCCTCCCTGCTAGACACATACCAAGAGCAATCTTCCTTGGACCAACCGGTCCTCCTCCTTCCTCTTTTGAAACCAGGAACTGTTATCCAGTTCAAAGTTCTGTTTTCCTCATGTCTGTTGCATCAAAACTGAATAGCCTTATTTCAAGTACGTCCAAGCCTAATTTCTGAATGACCATTCGTTTTTTACTTATGTCAAATCATTGGTGTTTTTTTTTTAATTTTCAGGTACAAAGTTGATCAACCCAGTCAATAAATTATCGATAGTATATGATGCCCGTATGCTGAAGCATTTTAACAGAGGTGAAACATCTCATCCAGAACGACCCGAAAGAGTTTCAAGTATTTATTCTATGCTCGAGGACTTTGAAGTCTTGCAAAGGTGTAATCTTGTACCTTCACGAGTGGCCACTGAAGAGGAACTATTATTGGTGCATACTCAGGACCATGTGTCTGCTATGCAGTCTTTGGCAACAAAATCTGAAGATGAACTTGATAAGCAACAAAAAAAAATGCGTTCTGTGTATCTTCATAACAGCTCCTATGAGTCAGCATCAGTGGCAGCCGGATGTGTCTTTCAGGTTAGAGTCTCGCTCATTCTTTTGTTGACTGCTTCTCTCATTTATTGCACATTTATGGCACAGTTGTCATCAGTAAAATAAATTATGTATTGAGCCACTGTTGGTCAGAAGAAAAAATGAGGAGGAATATTTCTCATCCCATTAGATAGTTTAACAGATTAGTAACATCTAAATGCCCAAAACTACAGTTTAAAGATATCTAACTTTTGAGGTTTGCAAAAAGGTGTTTCCTTCTCTTGCACAGTTTGTGATGTTATTATGCATCAACCCAACCCTTGTAACAAAAAAAGTATTAAATCTGCATTTTGGCCGCTAAAAGCCCCCTTATCTGTGCTAATCCCTCCGCTGACCTGTCTCAGGTTGTCGATGCAGTGTTGAGTGGAGAGAGTGCGTCTGGAGTGGCTGTGGTCCGCCCACCTGGCCATCATGCTGAATCTGACAATGCGTGTGGCTTCTGTGTGTTCAACAATGTTTCCCTTGCTGCTAAATATGCTTTAGAGAAACATGGCCTGTCGAGGTAAGAGGTAACTTGTTTGTTAAGTTTAAGTTGCTGCTGGCTTTCTGACAAGCAACCTTGAGTTTTTGTTATGCTTATTGTTTGCCTCAGTGTTTTAACTTTTTGCTATCCCTCTTGTTTGTAGAATTCTTCTTGTAGATTGGGATGTGCACCATGGAAATGGAACCCAGCACATTTTTGAATCAGACCCTCGAGTTCTGTACATTTCACTTCATCGCTATGATAATGGAAGTTTTTTCCCTGGATCTTTGGATGCTGGTCATGATAAAGTTGGGCTTGGTAAAGGTGAAGGTTTCAATGTGAATATACCTTGGAACAAGAAAGGGATGAATGATGGCGACTACATCACTGCCTTTCATCAAATTGTTCTTCCAATTGCATATCAGTTCAATCCAGAACTGGTCCTTGTATCTGCTGGTTTTGATGCGGCTGTGGGAGATCCACTTGGTGGTATGTGATTCAAAGTACTTTTATTCACTTTCGACAGTCAACCGCATTTTCTAATTTTTCTCTTTTCCCCAGGGTGCAAGGTATCTCCCGAGTGTTACGGCCACATGACCCACTGGCTCCATGGGTTAGCTGGTGGACGCACAATCCTCTGTTTAGAAGGTGGCTACAATCTGAATTCCATTTCATATGCAATGACAATGTGCTGTAAAGCTCTTCTAGGGGATCCTCTGCCTATGTTGGAGAAAGGCTCAGTAGCTAGTCTTAATGGTATCCAAACAATACGCACCGTTTGTTCAGTTCAAGAAAAATACTGGCCTTGTCTTCGATTTCAAGTGAGAATTTGAATTTATGATAATTGAATTGTTGATTTTTCTCTCTGACTTTCTTTATCAAACATTATCCTCTGCTCCTTTCCAGGTGGCTCTTCCAGTAGAAGATGATATTTTGTCATCGCAGGAGAGTACTGAGGATCTCTCTAGGATGCTGGCTAAAGTTGAGTTGACTGAGAGAGAAATTTCCATGAACCACCCTAAGGATGGAGAAGCGTCCAGAGCTATTAAACTGGTAGTAGACTCTGGAGATGTTGCTAGTTACGCTCGAACGTGTGCGCCAGACAGATCCCAGGGTAATTCTTCATCAGGAGCAGGTCCAAGTTCTGGAGGAAGTGGAGAGGGGTCTTCTCTGGGATCTGCCAGGGGTGGTGATGGGAGCCGCCCAACTCTGGTTGATTACTTGTCTGAGAACATGCAGGTGAAGATCTCCTTGCTGTAGTCAGGAAAGTGACCACTCTGTCATCCTGGATACATTAATTATATTTAGTTTCTTACCCAGATGCTAGTGGAAGAGAGAATGTTTGCCGTGGTTCCACTGTCAGACTGTCCTCACTTACCTAGTGTGGAACCTGTGCCGGAGCAAGGTATTGATACCAATGCAGCATGTGAAGAGTGTAGCAGCACACAGGAAAATTGGGCATGTCTCGTGTGCTACAAGGTATACTTTTAATTTCTGTTACCTTTTACTAGCTATTATGTTACAATTGTTTTAATTTAATCTTATGTAATTATTTTTATGTGAAGGTACTTTGTGGACGTTATGTCAATGAGCATATGTCTCAACATGGCCATGGTGTAGGTCATCCTTTGACTTTGAGCTTCTCAGACCTATCAGTTTGGTGCTATGAATGTGAGGCTTACATTGACAATCAAGTATGTACAGCTTATCAATAAACTCCTTCCTTTCTATGACCTGAAATTTATGTTGCTTATGAAGGTATTAATTTTTGAATCTACAGGTTTTGTATGCCGCTAAAAATGCTGCTCATCAAAGCAAATTTGGTGAAGAGCTTCCTTGGAGTTATGGAGAAAGATAAATAAGACAACACAGCTTGAGTGTGGTGCTGTGGGATTTTGCTGGAGAGCTCAAATAATTTTATCATGTCTTAAGGCATGGCGACTGGCAGGTTTAATCATCTAATTAATATTCCTTTAGACACATTAGCTACAAATCCCTGTTTTACCTAATTGCACTTTATATGCCTTACATTGTTGGTCATACAGTAGACTACTTTTTCTGTATGTTTAATGTTTGTATTAACAGTTGCTGAACTTACATCATCATTGGCAAACCTACAATCAACACCAGAATATTTAACTCAGAGTCATTAATTTAATCATTAGGGTAGGTAGGTAGTTGAGAGGAGTTTGGGTAGTAATAACCAATTAATGTAACATAAAGGAAATATGTTAATTGACACGTAAATCAATTAATATAATCACTTCCAAAATTTATGTTTTATACACCTGTATGTTTTTGAAAGATAAACATACCAACTTTGTCGTGCTTTAATCTAATCTTGTTTCTGTTTTCTTGTTTCCTATTTTAAAGGTTGACTTGACTTTTAGCTTTAGATAACAATATTTTTCTTTCCTTGTGATTCAAATACTCACAATTTTTGTTGACACTATTCTTAAAATTCACTTTTTCATTTTTACTCACCTTTTCTAATTCAGTGATGGCAATGTAATCAAAACCAAGACAATGTCTTTTCATATGCTTCTAGCATTACAACTTGTACTTCAACTTGTTGGGAACATTACACCAAGATACAGATAAATTGATCCTTCTATAGTCTTAATTAAAAGCAATTTTTATTTCTTTGTGTTCTGCTTTTAAAATCACTTTTGTGTTGATGTTGTATTTGAAAGACTTCCATAGACTTGATAAGACATTGTATGTGAAACATATAATGACACTGTGATACTGAAAATCATCCAAAGCCTCTTATAAGATTGAAGCTAAATATTTCTATTTTTGTAGGACCATGTCTTCATTGTTGAAATTTAATTAATAAACAAGACAAAATAACTTTCTCATTGTACTTCTTTATTATCTCCCGTTTAGGAAACTGGGAACGACGAGGGAGAGACGAAAACTTACGACTTGGTCTTTTTCTCATCCGTCCATTGCCTCTACCCCGTTCTACACGGGCTTCCGTAGGAAGTAAGTACTACCGACCGAAACGTTCCTATTTGTGGCCTCAAAGTCGTGTCAGTTTCCGCCACAACCTCAGTTCAATCCAGACCGATCAAAGACTTTCCGGCCGTGACTGACCACGGATGTTCTCGAAAGGCGCCGAAATGCAAAAGGGGAGTACTACCCTCCTCCCCCCCCC